ACTCTACGGGTTACTCTAGGGTTCATTAATGCATCATGTAGGAATATTTCTATTCACACTTAACTAAGAAAATATTGGATTTTCTGGAAATCAAACTATTCTTCCTCTAGAATTGTTAGACTTCAACTATAGTCGCTGAGCATATATGTTTGAGTCATATAAGAATTTAGTCTTGGTTGGCCTAGAATTGGTGGTGCCCGCCTCATCTCCTGTTCCTCGTTGGGTTGTGGACCTAGGGCAGACCCACTATATTCAACGTTTTATCTAATTTAAACCTTATATAACTTTTATACGCTGGACGATTATAGAGGAACTCTACGGGTTATTCTAGGGTTCATTAATGCATCATATAGGAATATTTCTATTCATACTTAACTAAGAAAATATTGGATTTTCTGGAAATCAAACTATATCGATTTTACAAGGAAAAGCGGTTTCTACTTCAAACAAAACTCTTATGAACTCACCAACCTTTGTGTTGACACTTTTTAAAACTACTTGTATTCTCAGGAAATAAGGTGGGGAGGTGTGGCTAGTCATAGAGTGGGTGTGGGAGTGGTTGCTTGTGTCATAAGGTAAAGCAAAGTCAACACTCCACCTCTCTTTACTTTACCCACTTGCTTTTATTATTTAAATAATTTTTTTTTTTAAAAATATGATTCAATTGTGAATATTTAGGGTTTATTATGTTAAAATACGATTTTGGGTGAAAATCCCACGTTAAAATAATTAAAAACGGGCCTTAAACGCAAAACTCCGCAAAAACCGGAAGAAAATGGATTCCCAGCGAGACCTCTCGGTCCCAGGCCGAGGTTCGTCCCTAGGCCGAGGTTCGGTCCATGCTGAGGACGGTAGCCGGAAACGAAGTTAAATAGGGGGAAACGAAGGGAGGGCGAGGAGGCGAGAGGGGGCGAGGAAGCGAAAGGAGGCGAGGAAGCGAAGGGTTAGGTCATGGGCATCAGAACCGAAATAACCCGAATGAACAGTAGATGAACAGTACCTTCGGGTTCGTTTCCAGGAGCCTTCGGGTTCGGGTGTTTCTGCGAGGTTCGGGCCTGCAAGGATCTTTCGGGTTCGGTTCCTCCTGGGTGAGGTTCGGCCTTGAGAGGACCTTTGGCTCAGGAGGGTTCGGGTCCTCCTTGCTCTCGGTCCCTAAGAAGACCTCCGGGTCCTAAGAGACTTCGCCTCTTATAAGAGGGTTTCGGTTCCTAAGGTCAATTTTTCTCGTTTTTACCCCGTTTTAAGCCGTTTTTGACCCGGTTAAGGGTCGAAATGACCCGAATGATTCTAAAAAGCTACGGGAAACTTTTGAGAGAGATTTGGGAGAGATTTCACATACTTGGAGAGATTTGGGAGAGATTTGACATTCTTGGAGAGATTTCTCATTCAAAGAGATATTTGAGAGAGGTTTCACATACTTGGAGAGATTTCGGAGAGATTTGACATTCTTGGAGATATTTCTCATACAGAGAGATATTTGAGAGAGATTTCACATACTTGCAGAGATTTGGGAGAGATTTCACATACTTAGAGAGATTTCTCATACAAAGAGAGTTTTGGGAGAAGTTTCACATACTTAGAGAGATTTGGGAGAGATTTCAGATACTTAGAGAGATTTCTCATACAAAGAGAGTTTTGGGAGAGATTTCACATACTTAGAGAGATTTCAAATAGAGAGAGATAGAGTGAAAACGATTGAGAGAGGTTTCGAGTGTGGCATTTGTGAGTGTCCGGCTTCGCAATGCAAGGTCCGTAAACACTGTTAAGCCTTGTTTAAGGATCTTACACACTCCCGATGAGTATGCAACATTGTTTTATCGGTTTGGCTAGCCACGTACCACAGTTTAAGGTTAAGGAGATCTAGATGTTCACACTTTTTGATTTATGATCTCTCATTAGAATAGAGAGTTGTGTAGAAATTTCATAATGTAAATTCTAGTACCCAAGGGCAAATTGAGTCAAACGGTTTGACTTGTTGACTTTATTTGACTTTGACTTGACCGAAATTTGACAGTTGTCACACTTTTGGTATAAATAATGGTGTTGAGTTTCAGTTTGATTTTGCAATCACTCCATGGACATTTCTCTTTAGACGTTTCAAAAGGATTGAGAAAATTATGTGAAATTACAATATGAGATGTGGAGTTTAAAAATAATTATAGCATTGAAGGTTGGATTACCGGTTCAGACAGAAGACTTCTTGAATATTCAGTTCAAAGGATTCCGAGGTACCAATCACATTCTTCATGAGTTCACATTGGCTGATCTGCCATTCATGAACCCTTATGATTGGTTGTCTATATTTTACATTGTGGCGAAGGATGTCCAAAAATATGAGCCAAATTTTGAACAATTACAGTGAATGATCAAGTGTTACATCCTAGAAATTGTGAAAATGGATGTCGAGATTGCTTCCATTCTGAAGAAGAGGCTAATTCTGAATCCATACGAACAACCGAAAGACATCCAACATTTGAAGACATGGATCATTCGAAAGAAGAACTAGAGCATTGTTTAGAAAAGGAAGGCGATGTGATTCATAACAACATGTTCATCTTAAGGGATAACCAATAGTATTTCACATCTACTCTGAAAACAACCTTATCTTCGGCTGAAGCTAATAAATCCAATTCTGATGCCAATGTAAAGTGTGTTTCAAATATGATCCATTGGTATTTATCTTTTCGATTATCGCTTCTAAAGATTATGCCAAAGATTTTTGACGCGAAAAGAAAATGATGAAGGCCTCCTTCCATTTGACATAAATGGGGAGATTGTTAAGTCTAATTTGATGTTGTTTCAAATGTTTAGTTTCAGATTTATTGTTTAATTCCTATTCCGGAATGGGTTTGTCCTTGTTCGGAATTGTTGTACTATTTTGTCTATATATAGCTTGCATGTAACATCTAGGGTTACAACTTTTGAAGCAATTACAAAATAATTCCGCCTCCAAGAACTATTCTATTGCTTTTATTAATACATTCGGCATCTTTTCAATCATTGTCATTTCTAGTCATTGATTCATCTCATAATATAGAATCTTTCAATCTTTTATTGTTTCTAACATTATTCCTACCTTAGTGGTTATAATGAATCGAGTCTGAATATGATAAATCTATGATACGACCTTATTTAACTATGTATTTTAGGCCATTATCATAATATATTTTATTATAATGTTATATTTTAAGAAATATGATACTTAATATGTCTTAAAATATTCAATTACAGTTAAAATGGAATCTTAGAATGCAAAACGAAAAAAAGGAACAAAAGGATGTTGCTGGGCAGCTTGACCCCTTGTTAATGTTTTAACCGTATCTTATGACTCATAACTCCGATTGACGAGATAAAAGATGTTACAGAAACTAGAAAAAATTTCAATGCCTTTCGTGTTGATGCCAAATTCTGATTCCCAGTTCCCACGCCGTCGCAAAGCCATTCCCACTATTTGCCGATATCAAGAAATTTTATGGATGCGAAGAAACCATCTCCCAAATCATCTCAAGCCTTTCTCCACGATGTGGTAGTGTTGTAACCTATAAATAGAGCCCATAATTCACCCTAATGACATATCTTTCAACCCTAATTCGTTACTTACGAAAATAAATCTCAAAGAAGCCATTTTGAGGGTCTAGAAGGTAATTAGAGGCCCGTTAAACTTATATTCAACAAATATCTGAAGGATTCAAGAGCTGATTCATGACAAGAATCATTAGGTTTGCTGTTATAACCTTGATTATGATGGGTTCTGAGCATAGCAAACAACCCCTATGTGTGCATGCAACCCTAATATATTGGATCTATATTTTTCTCTATTAGACATGCAAGCATCAGACACAAAACAAGGAACCCAAGGAGGTAACTAGAATTTTCGAAATTGACAAACCAAGGGTTAGAATACATACCTTTATTGTTATGTTGTAATAACAATGGATTACTTGAAGATCTTGAACTTTGAGAACAAGTGTCATAAGTGTAATACCTCTAATGGCTCACAAACACACTAAACAAGAGGATGAAAGGAGAGAGATGGAAGATGCTTCAAAATTTCGGCTATTCTAAAGCTTTAATGGCATGGCCGAAATCCATAGGGTTGAGGGTCCTTAAATAGCTGTTAGTTGCTTCGAACCAAAGCTAGAATTTGTTGTAGGAAACCCTAATTTCCAGCTTCAGGCCTAGGCAGCCCATGGACTACCCATCCCAAAGGCCTTGGGCCTCCTTAGAAGTATTCGACAAACCCTTCTAGGATGGTCCAAGGGCCCAAAAGCACAACTATTAATTAATTTCTAAATAGCCATGTACTTTTAGTTAATCCTTTAATCCCAAAATTAATTCCAAATCAATTTCTGATTAAATATTAATTAAATAACATGATTTCTAATTAATATATTATTTTAATAATACAATAAATCATTTTTCTATATTAACTTATTATTCCAAATAATAAATCATTCTCTTTCTCAATAGGTCATCCTATCTAGTTGCTACTATGAAGGCAACCCAAAAGGACTGTGCTACTATCAATTCAAGTACATAGCACATATAGTTACGAGCTTAGACACCTAATCCAATAGTGTCCCACTTGGATAAGTCTAATAACTATAAATGCATGTATAACTTAAAAATTTGACTAGAAAGTTGTAGCTCTCAAAGCTGTTGTCGAACTCTGATCTAGTCAGTAATGTGTCCTTAGATAAGTGATCATATAAACATCTGTTATGCATAATATCATGTGGACAAATGACATGGAGCATAATGATTCTCATTTTCCAATAGTTTGTTTCTCTATTTCTGATTTGTAATGACTAAGAAATACAATTGAACACATCAATTAAGTCCTGACTGGGCCCGACGCATAAGTCTACACAAAATCATTGAGGTGTCCAAGATATCGCTTTTCCCGTTTAAGAAAAAAGAAACAAATAAACTTTGACTTATATGCTTGCACTATTTACTAATCTAACCATGCACACCATTATGTTAACATCAAGTTACTAATGCGTTTACGCATTATCAATGCACAACCAAATCGTAAATAACTACTCATATATATCCGTTTAAAGATCATACGATATTATTGTCTCAAAATTACTCGTGATGAATTCCACGAAGTAATTCCCTGAGTGTGGGTTTGATCCAATACTCAAATCCCCATTTCAAAAGTACTCATGAATTGTGTAGCAAACCATTGCTATGTCTAAACCCATAGACAATCTACAACCCAATTGATGACAACCTTAATTCATTACTTACTTCCAAAGTATGATCGACTGTGGATATTTGAATAATCTAATTATTTGGGAAGTAAAACATGCAAAAGAAACATAATAATAAACAATTGACAAAAGATAGTAAACAATACTTATAAAAAAATCTCCATATATTTAATCATCAAATGTCAATTATATTTATTTGCTACAAGTTTCTAAATAGTTATCAAATCACTAAAACTAATATCATCCTTTAGACCAATGCTCCTCGCATGTTGAACGTGCTTAACCCTACTCAGACCCTTTGTGAGGGGATCTGCATGATTCTCTTCAAATGATACCCTCTTCATGAAGATGTGTCCTTCTTCTACTTGATGTTTGATAAAGTGGTATTATATGTCGATATGTCTAGATCTTCCATGATCTCTTGGTTCCTTTGTTAAGACAACCGCTCCTTAATTATCACATAAAATATCTATCGTCTCCTTAATGGTTAATGCAACTCCAAGGTCTGTAATGAAGTTCTTCAACCATATAGCCTCTTCCGATGTTTCGATCGCTGAAATGTACTCTAATTCAAAGGTCGAATCAGCCACCATCTCCTACTTGGAACTTTTCCAAGTTATCGCTCCTCTATTAAGGGTAAACACCCAAATAGATTGAGAACGTAAGTTGTCTATATCTATCTAAAAGTTGGCATCACTATACCAATAAATCTTAAGTCGTCACTACCACCAAGCACAATGACATAGTCGTTAATCCTTCGCCGATACTTAAGAATGTTCTTGATTACTATCCAATGAGCTTTACCTAGATTTCTGTGATATTGACTAACCATGCTTAAAGCAAAAGCCACGCCAGGAGAGTGCATGCCATATCATACATGATCGATCCAACGGCAGAAGCATATGGAACTCGACTTATTTCTGCCATCTCAACATCCGTAATCGAACTATGAGTCCTATTCAGTTTGGTATTGCTTTAGATATGTAACTCTCCTTTCTTGGAATTATTTATGCTAAAAAGTTTTTGCGCATTTTCCAAATATGTACTTTAACAAAGTCGAATTAGTATTATACTCCTGTTTCTCAAATTGTTATTCCTAAAATATAAGCAGCCTCTCCCAGAACCTTCATAGCGAAAAACATTCCAGGCCAAGACTTAACCTATTGCAAAATTGGAATGTCGTTTCCTATGAGTAGTATGTCATCAACATACAATACCAAGAAGGTGACTATACTCCCATTAGCTTTGACATATACACAAGATTCATCTTCACTCCACGAGAAGCCGAACTCTTTAACTTTCTCATCAAATGAATGATTACATCTGCGAGAAGCTTGTTTGAATCCATAGATTTATTTCTCAAGCTTACAAACTCTATTTGGGTATTTAGCATCCACAAAACCCCTTGGCTGATTCATGTAAGCATCCTCAGCCAACTTTCCATTAAGGGAAGCGGTTTTGACATCCATCTGCCAAATTTCGTAGTCATGGAATGCAACTATGGCTAGCATAATCATAATAGATTTAATCTTAGCCAATGGTGGGAAGGTCTCATCATGGTCAACCCATGGGGTTTGAGCAAAATCCTTCACAACCAGTCGAGCCGTGAAAGTCTATACCTTTCCATCCATGTCGGTCTTCTTCTTGAAGGTCCACTTGCACCCAAATATCATACGACATGGTACATTGTCAACAAAATTCCAAACTTGGTTGTCATACATGGACTTGATCTTGCTGTTCATTGCCTCTTTCTACATGGCATACTAAGGGCCCGCCATGGCTTCCTTGTAGTTAGAAGGATCATTCAAATTTACCGGTGCACTATCATGGATAAACGTATCACCATCTGTAGTAATATGGAAATCATAAAACTCAGGTGCCATTCTATCTTTGTTTGAATATATAGGAGGTAACGAATTGTCAATTTGTTCAATTGGAATTTCTTCCTTAGGTTGAACGCTAGTGTTAGAGGTTCCTTTATTGCTTGAATCTTGAATTATTCAAGATTAATTGTACCCCCACTATCCTCTTTGCATATGAGCTCTCTCTCGCGAAAGGCTCCCATTCATGCTACAAAGACCACGTTTTCACTAGGTCTCTAGAACAAGTATCCAAACAACTTTTGTGAGTAGCCGATGAAAATACATCTCTCACTTCGAGGTTGAAGCTTGTCACGAGTCTCTCATCTAACAAAAGCTTCACAACCCCAAACCTTGATATGTGCCAACAAGGGAACCTTTCCTGTCCACATCTCGTGAGGTGTTTTGGCAGCCTTCTTTGTTAGGACAAGATTAAGAATGTAGGAAGTAGTCTCTAAGGCATACCTCAGACTAAGAATGGAAGTGAAGCTCGACT